ACGAAGGTGACCTTTGTGTGGCACATTTCAAGCATTATAATGCGTATAAACTTATAGAAATAAAACATGAATTTACCACAAGGAAAGAAAATGAAACATAAAATAAGAAAATGAAAATATATTAGAAACGTCCTCAACAGTAATGAACGGCAATAACAATGATAATGTACATTTAGAAAAAAAAGAGAAAAACCCTAATAATCTTCATGAACCAATTTGTCATTAATTTGAATGCCTCGATCGATCAAAAATACAATACAACATCTTAGTGTATTACAATCCCTGCTTAACCTTAAACTCTTCAAATGTAGGAATTCTATACCCAAAAATTTCATAATCTAATCGATACACTTCAATAAGACTTTCAAGAACATGTTTGGATAAACTTCCAAGCGCTTCTGTGTATCTCAAATTGCCTTTCTGTGCATGAATGTCTGGGAAACGATATATACTATCAAGGCCAATCATCTCAAGAACGCACGCAGCATCCTCGCCTAGTTGTTCAAAATGACCGATAAAATCGTACTTAAATGAACATACATATGATCTTCGATATTGTTTGACTAAATGCCCACCGAGTGGCATATATTCCCCATAGGAATGGTGGTGAATGACCATCTTTACAAATTCTATAAATGTTATATTATATATTTCATTTCCCTTTGGATTACGTGCCATCACGCTGTGATTCCGTATTCCAATTTTCTTGATGAGATCATCGAATTGCTTATTTTGGCCCGATTGATTTACTGTGTAATGTATGTTATTATAGTAAAATGACACCAATCTCTCCAGTGGTTCTCGAAAGAAGATGATTTTGGTATATTTCTTCACATCTGTTTCAGTGAGGTTCTTATTTCCACTCTTCAAGCACTCCGAATCAATAGTCGGTAGAAAGTTTCTCCAAGTAGTTGATGACACTTTGGGCATTAATTTGAACATGAACTTGTATTTTTCCGATACGACAAAGTAAACCATGCGTGGTTCAACATATGTTACATTATTGTCTCGGCATGCGTTCACAGCTAGTTTCACTCGTTTTGCACTCGCTTTCCAGCAGTTATAAGCATCCTTTTTCTGTGCGTCTGATGAATTCTGCAAGGCATGGTGCAGAACAGCGTTAGTTAAAATGGTACCACAAACGAAAATTAATTACTCTTCAATGGAACAAATATGTAACTAGGTTTACGAACACGACATATGGCGCATGCAAAGTACATCAATCTTAAATAAGACTCACCAGAGGTTGTTTGACTGGTTCCATATGTTTCTCATGGTGTACAACACTGACATGGCAATATTCCTTGTCCAAGGATTCTGGAATTATATTTCAAGATAATAATTGTTTTCACAATAGCAATGTGTCAATTCTCGCTATCGCCAATACGTAAAGGTTACATAGATGGCGCTATCACGCTTCGTTCCAAATGCATTATGGGATAGTTTTGTGACTCACTCACTTCCGGCCCGCAGTTGCAGGAACGAACGCTAGCAGACGCCATATACCGGCTTATGTATTTACAGTTACGATCGTTTGTATTTTTCACATGTTTTAACTTGACTGTGATATTCAAGCTCATGGGTCGTTACTGTGAAGCGGCTTTGTGCTGGTCGCATGACAATAAGCGTAAAAACCTCCAAAGATACCCTTGGATGAGAGACGTTACCTGGGTGAAATTCCCACCAAAAGCTACAATGCGTGCGACGTGGAAAAAGTTGCTTCGGAGGCAAGACAAGTTTGAAATCACGGTACGTTCACGATTGTGTTCTCGTCATTTTGACAAGGAACAGCTGCAAAGTGATGGAAATGCAGTGGGGTTCCCCAAATATTTTTCGTGGAACAATTATGGACTTGTACTGAATCCGAGAAAGTCGGGAGCAGTGGAAAAGCGAGCACAAGCCGACACTGCAGTCGCAAGCGGCACCCTGCCCGGTGCAAGCCTGGAGGCAAAGCCTGACGAGATTGGGGAACAGCCGAACGAGATACCCGTCTTCGCTGGATCACGACGAGCACCTACTACATGTGGCCCCCATATTGCCGATAGCGTTGGTAGAGAAGTCACCGTCCACTTGCAAACGAAGAAAATTCACAAGAATATTGTTGGCCGTAAGTTCACTTCATGCTTTTTTTCATGCGCAAATGCTGTATTTCCTAATATTAATAATATTGTAAATATGGGGATTTTTTTCCTTATCTTTGTATACGATTGTCGTCGTGCATCAGTCATAACTCATGTCTCTTACTTAGTTTTAGTCAGACCCATGTGCACTGTTATTGTTAATTTGCCATGCTAAAATTAATAATGATAATCAAGACAATAATTTAACAGGATATTAAGAAACACATTTATGTTCTAATAGTCATATTTTATTAGAAATATTATCATCAGGTATCATTTGAATACAGGAATTATATAAATGCATCATCCAGACCCATATTTTGAAAGGTACAGAATTTTTTTTATTTTTTCAAAATTACACATGTGCACATCCCCTTTATCTGTGACGCGAAAAGCAACAATTTTTTTTTATTTACGGCCCTGAACATTAAACTTTTTTTTGCATGTTTTAGAATATTTTTTTTCCTTTTGAAATTATGCGTGACTTTTCTGTAAAACAGAATTATTTGATAATTGTTTATTTATTCATTTTTGTTAATTTATGCATACAGGTATGCACTCCATTCCAGAAAACATACCCAATCCACAGGACCACGACTACATCAGTTATCATCAAGCATCGACTTCTACAAAGTCAACTCAAACCCTACTCACTGCTGCTGACATCTGTCGTCTAGAGGTGAAGTCAACTACACCGTCAAAGACTCCCGTCGAAGATCTGATTGACAGCACCATCCTCGGCAGCGACGAACGTGTCAACTTCTACACCGGCATCCAGTCAAAGACCATGTTGCAAGGTACATGATGTTCAAAGTGTTATACATTTTTTTTTTTTTTTAACCCTGAAGAGGGAATATTTCGGAAAAAACGCTGAAATAATTTCAATATATATATATAGGTACTATTGTATTATATATAGGTTTTTATTTTTAAATTTTTTAATGTAAATACAAATTCATATGATTTTGAAATTTTTGACAAAGCAGTGAAGTACAGTGCAAACTTGGGCTTCTTGGGCCCAGGAAATTTACTTTGATGTACATTAATACATGTAATAAAAAAAAAAGAAGCATATTGACCAATATTGATATTGAAAAGTATTCTGTTTTTTTGACAATGTATTAATTTGTTTTGTTTTTGTATATTTGTTTGTTTATTACCAGGTCTGTGGAGTTCTGTAGAAAAGGGAGCAGAGAAACTGAGGTTCTGGAAAGGGCCAGCTCGTAGCCGGGGAACTAAGAACTACGAGGGAACACATCGTGCAAAGCCAGGGAAGCAGCACAGTGTGTCTATTTTCTTCCAGTTCATCTTGACACTGATCAGATTGCGACTCGACTTGCCATTACTCTTACTCGCTGATTTGTTTTGCATAGGTACAACAACTGTAACAGAGATAACAGTTACCTGGTTAGCCTACTTGAACCAAACTATCGTTCCTGCTCTTGTCTTCTGGCCATCACAAGCTACCGTTAGAGCAAACATGCCATCAGATTTCAAGATGCGGTTTCCATCTGTATGTGTGATTATTGACTGCACCGAGTTTTTTATGGATCGACCAGCTAACAAAGAGGAACAGTATAAGACCTTTTTGCAATATAAATCACATAATACATACAAGTGTCTAGTGGGTATAAATCCTAATGGTGCATTTACTTTTGTCAGTTCATTGTGGGGTGGAAATGTCTCGGATAGGTACTTGACTGAGCATTGTGGATTGCTTGATAAACTCAATGAGGGAGATGCTGTTATGGCTGACAGGGGGTTTCATATTGAGGACTCTCTGTTGGAGAAAGGAGCAAAGCTTGTTGCTCCACCATTCACCCGGAAGACAACTGGTGGAGTAGGAAAGAGACTTAATGTTAATGAAATAAAAACAACTCGCGACATCGCTAGGTTTCGCATCCATGTAGAAAGAGCGATACAAAGGCTAAAAACATTCAGAATTTTGAAGCACCAGATTCCAACTTCGCTCAATGGAGTTGCGTCAATAATTGTTCAGGTTGTGGCTGCATTGTGCAATTTAAAAGGTCTGTTGTACTATGGGACCAATGAACTTGCAAAGAAACGTCTGCACATAAAGAAGAAGCCGCTAAAACGGCTTCTAATGTAAATTAAGAACACTGGTTCTGGTGATGCATTTTTTTATCTTATTGTTTTTGTTTTGTTATGAAACTAATGTTAACATGCCTTTATACAAGTGTATTAGATATCAATGAAATATTCTTATTTTATACTTATGTGCAATTTATAAATTTTATGCAGGAGAAATTTTATTTTCAATTTTTTTTATATTAATATACATATGCAGTCACACAACTTTACATCATAATTTGGTGATATTTATTGCAGAGGAAATTTTATTTTTCATCTTTTATTTATGTATTTATTAAAATAAATATTCAAGCAGGCCACTCCATTACATTTTGGGCAATCCTGCTATGGAAAAATGTATTAGTTATGAATGATTGGAATATCATAGCAATATGATCTTACTTTATGCTCTCATCTGATCCATCTTTGTATCAAGGATTAGTTGTTTTGCAATAAATAAATTATTCATTCATTCATTAACATTGGAAGTTGAGAAATTTTAATGTGTTGCAGTGGATTTGATATTCAGAATGAAGTGTGTTGTCAGGCAAATGGAGTGAATTGACGAAAGGATACAATTAAAATGGGGGAAACATGCGAGACAAAAAGTTAAAGAAGATAAATCTAAATGCATAAAATGATGTGTGCAATTTGGTTCAGGATGAAAGGAAAGTGAAGATTACCCGGATCATGCGGGGTGGGGGGTGGGGGCAAGACAACATGAAAAGGGAATTTACAGTGAAAAAAAAGTCTAACTGTCATAACATGCAGGGACGTACCACTGTTAAGAGCAGACAAAGCATTGGAGGGGCACAGTATTTGTGATTAATGCTGTGTCCCTCCAATGCTTTGTTCCTAACGATGGCACACTATTTATAACACGTTAGCTTAAGTGTGTATTTACATGTTGGCTTAAGTGTGTATGTGTGGGATTATGTTTGTACGACATGTGTGAACGATTTATAGGCAAAAAAGAGAAAAATAAAGCAACTAGTGTAGGGTAGCATTATAGTTTGGGTAGTGCAGTGGGAAATGGACTAGCTACACCCTCATCACAAGTAGGCCATTCTCATCATTTCATCATCAAAATATGACCATGCAAAATCACAATAAAATATGGATACACAAGTCCGAGGTGTGACAGGTTGTGACATTCAACCATTTAATAGATGTATGTAAACATTATGTACACTTTTAGCATTTACAGGTGCACAGCAGCCAAGACAACATCAGTTATAAATAATACATACATGTACCTGAACATTATCAGCTTTGTTGCCAATGGTATTGAGTAAGAGAAAATGAAAGCCTTTACATGTAACTTGATACAAAGAAAGAGGGAAATAAACTACACTTTTCAAATAATTGGTTTGTTCTTTAAATATACAAGTCAGATAAAAAAAAAAGCCAATTTCTTCATCTTCCACTATTATGCTGAATTTTGACTTTGACAAAAAATGACAACTGTATATTATTATCTAGCATTCACATTGTTTTTGCAACCCAGACATAAAAAAATCATAACAATTAAATTAATTAAATAAATAAC